GGAGAGAGTATGCTCTCCATGAACATTGGTTTTCAGTGCTACGAACCTCCATTGGTGTATTATTGGTGCAATGCTGCTCTCTGGACACGGTGAGACTATTGGCTTTCAATGTGATGGTGTGATCTGGAATTGTCATCTCGCTGTTACTTATTTTCCTTGCAATTTGGTATCGGAGCTGGTTCATATTGCGCTTCATTGGTTCTTCGCAATAGCTATTGGTGCTTCGCATGAGGTGTGGGTCAGTGATAAGGCATTGGCGTTGAACATTGGGCGGCCCAGGGTAGAGTGGGCGCGCCAGGGAGCTATGTGGTGACATACGGGGTGTATGCTGGATGATGAGAACTCGCTGGTGTGGCATATTAAGCCAAGGTGGAACCGCATTCTGCTGTTAGTTGTGCTGAGGCAAAGACCGGCCATCATAATTGCACATCAGGTTACCGGTGAGAAATATGTGGTTGGGGGCAGCATTTCGTTGCTCTCTTCCTTATCTACCCTCTTCATCTCTTCTTACCGTGAGGAAGTGAGTTATGTCTTGAGAGTCCTCTCGATGTGAGGTGTTGCGAGCGCTCAACCTTGAGAGTCGACATTCTTCCTGGGCAACAAGCTGGTGGGAGACGGGTGAAGCCTCTGAAGGGCCCTGGATGAAGCACTCGGGTCACGGTCACCATGCTAACCCGTTGGGACTAGTACACGCATGCTTTGCCGCAAGTCCTTGGTACCGCTGCTTGCGCAATAGAGGTTGTGCAGGGCATGCCAACCTTTTATGAGACGCCTACCAGACCGTCTATAAATATTTCTGGTTGGGGGAATCAGATTTGAATCTGGCTGTGATCGTCGTCCTGTCTGCGACGTTAAATAATTCCTGAGGAGATGGGGGCTCTCCTTAAATCCCTCCTGATCAGCTAGATCAACCGGGTGGTAGGCTTGTTCCATAGGAGGGTAAATAAGAGTGGACTGGCTGGCATGTTCGGCAATGACTTGGGGCACAGGGGTGGGCCGGATTGCACACCCTTAGACACGCTGCTCAACCAGATGCTCAGGAACGTTGACACAAAGTGATCACTCAAGAAGGATACAGGGGGAGGGGGGATTCCGGTAACTGTTCACAATGGCATTCAACTATCAATCTGCCATCCAGTATACATCTCCAACAAGAGATGTTATTTTTATTTTGATTATCTAGTTGTTACCGACTTGACTAACAACTGACAGACAACTACAGATAGATTAGATCTTTGTTGTAGTGCAATTTGTTCCAGGGTAATCTAAAATAGAATTAATATATCCTGCAGGACCTGACATTAGTTGTTAATATATTACCTATCTGTTTCTGCTCCAGCCGACCGAAATTAGTTGTGGTTCATAATCGGTTGTGTGTCAGGCTAAGGCAGGATTCAATGTGGATTCTAGTTTAGATCACACACACTGTAGCTCATGAGTGATGCAAGCACTAGTGAGGAGGAATTGCTAGTGGCGGAGCGTAGGACAACTCGCGGGACTGCTCGTAGTCGAGCCTTGACATTCTTGGAGTTAGGTCCAGGAGACGAGCGAAGATTGCTTAGAGAGGCTAAAGTGAGAACAGTGGCAAGGAGAGCGAGGGCAGCTGAGGATAGTGCCAAGACTAGAGTCTCAGTGAGTACCCGTACAACCATGGCTACCTCATCTGTGTCACAAGTCTCTACCCAGTCCACTTCGTCACGAGTCAGTCAGAGTGGCTCTCAGGTTTCCACTAGTCAGATTGCAAGCTTGCGAGTCAGCCAGCAAATTCAACTCACGCCGGAGGACTTGGAAATCTGGCAAGCAGAAGCACTTCAGGATGAGCTACAGCGGGAGTTGGACGAGGCAGCAAAGAGGAGAAGAAAAGCCATAAGGCGAGACTGGGGAGTAGAATGCAGGAGCTAGGCAGACTTGAAACACTAGATGAGGCAGCTTTAGACCCTGCTGGTCGTGTGCTGCGTAATGCTTTACTTTCGGT